AAATTATTGTCAAGGACAAAATAAGATTTTTTTTTCATAATTGAAAAAAAAAGTAAAATTTATCTGTAACGAGTGTTTATATTAAATTAATATATGCATGTCATGCGTTTAAATTTATAGTTTATTTTAATTAACCATAATTAATTGACATATGTTTTATTTGATTAAATCACGTAAAATAAAAAATAAATTAATTTGATATAAACACCTATTACGAATAAGTTTTGTTCCGAAAAAAATAGTGGGCATGTTATTTTCCATCTTTATTTCTGAAAATATAGTTTGGTAGGAAGTTACAAATAAAATAACTACGTTACAACTTAAAGGGGCATTACATAGATATAGACAATAATAACTCACATTGTATATATATATATATATTGATAAAAATAACTCACATTGGGAATTACAAATATAGATATATACAATTACATTAAAAGATTAGTATAATATTGTATGACACAGAAATTTTAAATTATTTATCGTATTTTCTTTTATTTTTTAAAGTAAATATTCATTGTGAAATTTTTTTTAAAAAAATTGTTTGTCTTAAGATATAATCATCTCTTTTTATTAGCTATTACTGACAATAACATGAAATTTTTTAAAATAATATTTTTGAAAATTACGATAAATAATTGAGGAGAAGAAAATATTTTATTGTGATAGTAGTTTTAAATTTTTAATCAATAAAAGCATTGATAGTAATGATATGTTCTATATATACTATGTGATTTGGATAATAGCTGTCATTTATATTGTTTTTGGCGATAATTTCTATTTTTCATTGAGTTTTATTAACATTTCCTATCTTAATTTGTCATTTTCTCTTTATGAATTTAAAAAATAATAAAATTGTTTGTTTTTTTATTCTTGCACAATGATATTAGAGGCGGAGCTATAATTTTATTTTTGATCGATAAATTTTTTATAAATTTATCTTAAATTTTATATTTGGATTCAAAGTTATTTTTATGTATAAATAATTTATTTGAAAACTAATAAATCGTATTTTAAATTCAAAATATATAAACTCAAAATTCTAACTTTATCTCTAAGACATGATTTTTGATTTTATGAGTTAAATTAGAACATATTAGAATTAATTTCTTAAATATTATAGTTTTGGTTAAAACTACTCTCATATATAGCTAATGTTTTGTATTTTGTTAAAACTTTAATTGATTCAGATTCGTGCAACATAAACTCCTATCAAAAGCTGAAGCGCTTTCTATCAATTTTCTTCATATCGAAAGTCGAATCGTCTAATCTTGATGATCTTATATAATAATAATTTACCTAATTCCTCTTCATCATACATTATTAGGTTTTAATCTCATGATAAGTCCATGTTTGTTAATTAATCAACAACCACTGCATTATCATTAATAAAAATATATATATATACAAGGACTAGCTTTTTTCTATAATATAAATTAATTACTTATAAATTTTTATTTACACCATCAAGAAACATCATTAGCAATGATGCTGGTGGCTGGAGTTGGAGACTTGAAGATTAAGCCAAACCTGAAACAATTTCGAATTGGTTTTATCTAATATTGTTATGCACGGATCAAAATGAGTTGAATTAAAAATTAATGGATCGAAAAGATATTTATATTATTTTTTACGCGAATTTCATGATTTAATTGTCAGTTGTGTTTTTCATTTTTTTACTTGAACTATCAGCTAATGTGTTTTAATACATAAGGGTTGATAGTTCAGATAAAAAAATAATTGGATAGTTGATGATAGTCGTTCAAGTAAAGAAAACAAATGAAAGTTGAATATAAAACTCGAGAGAAAAATGATTGTTCAGATATGTTTTTATCATGTTAATAAATGAGTGAAATATTAAATAGTGCAGACGCACTAAACAACGACTATCACATGACCTGTCAATCTTTTATCACAAATTTATTTAGTTATTTTCTTGTGATTAATTTATTAAATTATGAATGCCTTTAATTATGAATTTCTTCTTTTTTAGGTTGATATAACGGTCAATAAATTAATTTTTTTCAATTAAAATGTGCCAAGAACATATTTGAGAAAAGAATCAAATATTATCTTAATTTTCTGAAATATTAATTATTTTGGACAAACTTTTAAGAGCTAAAATATTAATTATTTTGGATTGGGTACATTTTAATAATGATTAGTTCTTGATGTCGATTATTATATCACGATTTAACCTTCATGCATGAATCACTATAAAAGAATATATATTATCCATAGACAATTTTTGTCACTAAATAGAAAAATAGTAATGAATTATTTAAAAATTTGATAGCTATGATGTATGAACTATTTATTACTGATAATTTATCGATAAATTTCTTAACTAATTCTAATTTTTTTTTAAAAAAGTGAATGTATCAAACCTCACAAGTTAGAAGGATTGGTACAAAGGAAACTATAATTTAAATAAACAAATAAAATTCTATTTTTTTTTATATTCAATATATTAATAAAAATATTATTTTAAAAGTATTTCTATATAATGTAATTAAAAGTGGATCATAATATGTAATTCTACACAAAGTGATAAGAGCTAATTATATCATATCCTTATTCGTTTTTTCAAATTACAGAAAGTTCTTAAGATTTAAGGATTTGGATACATCACTCAGTGCCTTGATACATCTAGTCTCGGTTTCAGATATATCACTAAACTTTCAATACATGGCATTTCGTTTCAAATACATCACTCAATGTCCTAATACATCGTTTCTCGATACATTGACTTTCTAGATCATAAGAAATACTCCTGTTCCAATACAAAACGTCTGATTCACCGCATTCCGATAAATTGCCTTTGTTGAATACTAGACACATATATTCCAATACATTATCTTTGTTGATACAAGATACACTTGTTCATATAACATTTAATGTTCGATACATTACACACCTATCTCAATGCATGACATCCATATACATCACATTAAAGTGATATATCTGAGAATAAGAGAAAATAAAAAAAATTGTAATTTTTTAAAATAAATCGTATATTTAGATAATTTTTCCTCAATCTTTATCAATGAATGTTGGATACCATTATATTGGGGTTATAAATGTTTAAGCTCAACCCATCTGTTAAATCTGAGCCCATTTTAAATGACTAATTATAAGCTGAGCCCATTCTAACTTAACACTTTGCTTGAATTACTCGGAGGATTTACGTTTAAATTCTGACGATCATTATAAATCATAACTTATTATTAAGAAAAATCTTGTGATAGAAAAGAATTTTGCCTACAAATTCTTGACAATCACCACAAATTATTGTTAAGACAACTCTAGCCCAAAATCAAATAAGCAATCTTAGCTATTGTTGTGATTTTGCTCAAGATTATATAATGAAATAATTATGTCTTGAACTTTGTTTAACTAGATCAATTTTCTAAATGTAATATTAAAATTGTCCTATTTGTATAAATTACTCATTTGCATATCCAGCATTTAAATATTAACGTTCTAAAAAATTGATTTAGAGCAGTTACTTAATCTATTTCTATCTATGTGATAAAACCTTCTACAAAAATATAAGATTTTCGTAAATTTGATAATTCTTCTACACATAGATAATAAATGATAATTCAGATCTATAAAATTCAATAATATTGCATGACGTGAAAATATTATTTCTTTAAGTTGATGCATTTACAACCTTTCAAACAATAATAAAATGTAGTATAGCTCTACATATGTAAGATTTCTAGAGGATCGAGTATATGTAAACTGTATTTCTATCTTGATAAGATAGAGATATTATTTACGTTAAATACTTAAATTCTCAATTGAACAAATGATGAAAAAAGAACAATAATAACCAACAAATTAAAATAACTAATACTATACAAATCAAATAATAGGGATATATTGCCATTAAAAATAAAATTTGTTCACCTTTTCCTTAAAAAAGAGAAAATACAGCAACGTGGCTTGTTTGAAAATAATAAGAGAAATTATAAATTTATAAATATAATACCCTAGGTGCCTAACTTGTGAACATTATTATATTTCCCCTTGGACTTAATGAACAACACTTATTTGTTTCTTTGATATATATATATATATATATATATATATATATATATATATATATATATATATATATATATATATAATGAACTTGTCGATAACTCGATAACAAATTTTAAATACATTGATAAAGTTAAAAGTTTCATTAAAGAGATTTAAATATTTTTTTTTTATAAAAAATAGATGAAGAAAATAAGGAGATTCAGTGTTGAGATTATACATGTTTTGAAGTATATTTGCTAGAGGTATTAATTAATGGTTGATTAGTTGTTTTTTTAGAAAATTATACCATATCGATTTTTTTAAATTACTTTATGATGTATAATCAAAATTAAGTTTCAAAAATCATCTTAATTTCGATATGATTCGGTTAATTTTGATTTTCTCAACATCATGCGCCAAAAAACCTACATATTGATTCCAATACAATCATTTTTCCAATACAATCATTTAAATTAAATTAAATTATTAATATATTTTTATATTATTATATTCAAGAATCAAGATCCACGTTTGTATATTTTATATATATTCCCATATTCCACCCTCATAATTGGTAACTAACCTATATTAATTATAAGACATTTTTTTTTGTATAGACAAACAACTCATTAATAAACCATACTTACTTCTTTATAAATCGTAATGTCTGAATTAGTTCGAGTATAATTCAATTAATTTCACGAACAACATAAATATTGAATGCTCTATTTATTAATACTAGAACATATCAACTTTTTTCCCCTTCAGATTCAAATACAGTTTGTACTCAATATTATAGGCTTGTCCTTATTTTCTACTGTTTGACTTTTCAAACTGGTTATTCGGATTACTATAGGACATTCTTAGTTTATTTCGTAGGTTCAATTGATGCCGACCTATATTTTCTTGATTATTTTGATTGTCAGCCTTGCAAATAAAACGACAACAAAAACATATTCAATCTTGACCAATTCATCAAGACATTGATTTCTATGCAATTTGTGGGATTGGTCCTGGTATGTCATTTGCTAATTTTGTGTTGAAAAATGATCCAAACATAGGTGTGATTGGTTTGGTTCCATGTGCTGTTGGTGCCACAAATATTAGCCAATGGTCTCAAGGTTCATTTTTTTTATAATCAAATGTTGAATAGGACTCGAATCGCGTTACAAGATGATAGAATACTTCGAGCCCTTCTTTGGTATCAAGGAGAGACTGACACTCTGAATGACGATGCTAAATTGTACAAATCAAGATTGTATAAATTCTTCACTGATGTGCGCAATGACTTGAATACACCTACATTACCGATTATTCAGGTAACTTGAACGTCTTACTCATAATTATCAGTAAAATAACTATCTTTTCACGATATCTTACTTCTTGTTAAATTTGAATAAGTTTAAGTGATGTAATGTAATAGTGTAAATTAATGTCCAAAAAGGTGGAATTTAAGTTTTATGAAAAAACTACTTAATTAGTTAGACAAACATTCATACCAAAATTCATGTCAGACACACCTAGATACATGTATTTTTTCTATCCGAGCGGGATAGTCTATGTATCTCATACATATGAATGACACTACGTATATGTATATAGGATCCCAGATAAGGGGAGACAAGAGAGTTATGAACGAGACAGTCAGATACGTGTGAATCCACTTAGATATTATGTATATCGAATAAATTACATATAATTTTGACCACATGTATCTAAAGTCTCAACTCTGACAAGATTAATAATATTGCAAAGTAACGTGAATCCAATCAATTAGCTCATAAACTAGTGAGATCTCTATAAATTACCCGTAAGTCATATACGCTAATAGTGGGCTTTGTTTGTGGATACACAGGTGGCATTGGCATCAAAATTTGGGCCTTATACAGAGGAAATAAGACAGGCCCAATTAGAAACTCAGCTTCAAAATGTGAAAACAGTTGATGCTAATGGGCTCAAAATAGGCCCAGATTTTGTTTATCTCAATACTCCATCAGAGGTCCAACCCTTTCTGGGCTTTGGTTCAGCCCATAATTTATTATAATTCTTTTAAAAAAAAAGGTCAAAATTATTAGTTCTTATAAATTTAAATTTTATGCGGTAACGATAATAAAGAAATATTAATACAAATTTGTGTAGTGTAATACCTATTTAAGGAGAAAGTGTTCCTGATCGATCTTTTTTTCATATTCATGACTCAAATTTGAAATCTCTGATGAATAATGAAGGTATCTTATTTAACCCGCCACAACCTTTATTTGCTACCGACTCTCTCAAGCATGTGTATTTCTTTTTTCCTTTTTTATTTTTCGATATTTGTATTAAGAGTCGCATGTCTTATTTCTAGGTCGATGCTCCTAACATAATTTTTTCCATTTTGAGTTACTCGAACTTAAGACTTCTGATTAAGAATAAATGAATCTCAATCATTTCATACATCTCAGATTATCAACTTTGTTTTAAAGTATACATATTACTCAATTATTAAACACTTTTGCCAGCTTGATTAAACCAATCAATTATGTGCTTAATCATTCAATTAAAAAAATAATAACTGACAACAAATTTTATATTATTATATTCAAGAATCAAGATCCAGGTTTATAGGTAATTTCCACGTTCAACCTTATTGGTAATTAAATTTGAATTTCTAGAGATCTTAAGTAGCTTTTGTTTGAAGTTGTTTTATTTTTAAATGTGTGTATATGAACTGTTAATTGAAAAACAAAATTAACTTAAAGGTGTTTATTTGGAAATAAATAATTTTCTTTATCTTTTTACCTAGTGTATGGTAGTATAAAATATTATCTCAAAAAGTATTTGTATATAATTTTCTCAAATTCTATGAGGGTGGGGTGAAGGCGGAGCTACGATCTAAAACTTATGAGCTCGAGATTTTAACTTATTTTGAGTTATTACATTCTAAATTAATAATTTATACCTTTTACTTAAATTTTAATGACAAATACACAGTTCAAATCAAAATTACAAATTTCTTGATGAATCCCCTCCCTACACTCTATTCTACTCTCGGTGGCGATTGGTTTAAGATGGTGAGGTCACTACATAAAAAATAAATTTTAGCGGCAATTAATTAGCAATTGCTACTAAATATTTAGTTTTAGCAGCAAATAACACTCTTTATATATGTCCATTATAAAGGCTTTACCAACATTAGATCTAATGACACTTAACTAATGTCGGTAAAGGCTTTAGCATTTTTTTTATTAATATACCTTTTTTATTTCGGTTAAAAATTATTTTTGTCGTAGTAGGTATATTGGAGGGACTAAAGAAGATAATTGGTATGAAGTATATCATTTTTTCTGCCTCCGTTAGAAATGTCATGTTCCTAATTTTGGAGGTGTGGGAGGAGCCAGTCAGTATGAAATATCATTTATGAAACGTATTTTTTTTGCTTCCATTAAAAACGTCATTTTTCTTTTTTTCTTTTCTTTTTTTTAAAGGGATAATGCCCAAGTATCCCTCAACCTATGCCCGAAATCTCAGAGACACACTTATACTATACTAAGGTCCTATTACCCCCGAACTTATTTTATTAATAATTTTTTAGCGCTTTTTAGCTTACGTGGCACTATCTTGTGGGCCCAATGGTGATTGACCTTTTTTTTCCGAACTAGTGCCACGTAGGCTAAAAAGGGGTAGAAAATTACATATAAAATAAGTTCAGAGGGGGTAATAGGACCTTAGTATAGTATAAGTGTGTCTCTGGGATTTCGGGCATAGGTTGAGGGGTATTTTCCCTTTTTTAAAAAATAATTCTTAGAGAATGAATTTTTTTTTCTTCTAATCATCCATACCTAACCATTTCTCTTCAAATTTATGTCATTTTCCATCACTCATCTTTTATCCTAAAGTCCTTCAATTGATACCACATAGAATCTTCAATCTTTATTGAATCTTTTTTTTTCTTCTAAATCATGTTGTCCAAATCTCTAATGTTCAATCTTCATCCCCACCATGTAATTTTCACAAAACCAAAACACATACTTTCCCTTACAACATCTTCAAAAATACCAACTAATAGTAGTACTAAAATTCTCATATCACAAAAAAAACTTGTACACACTTTTTTCAACAAAAAATGTAACAAAAACATTATTTCTCCTATGGCATCATCATCAATTAATCAATTTGATGATGAATTTCACCCTGACCCTACCCTTACAAATGATGATCTCAAGCCTACGTCGATCGATCAACGTAACTTTTCAGGTTGGGAAATGTCTAGTCTATGGATTGGACTAGTTGTTGGTGTGCCCTCATATTACCTAGCTGGTAGCCTAGTTGATCTTGGCATGTCATGGTGGCAAGGTATTGCAATTGTTGTATTAGCTAATTTAATAACTTTACTACCACTTGTATTAATAGGTCAACCAGGCACAAAATTTGGCATATCATTTCCTGTTTTAGCTAGATCATCATTTGGCATTAGAGGTGCACATATTCCTACACTACTTAGAGCTTTAGTTGGTTGTGGTTGGTATGGTATTGAAACATGGATTGGTGGTGAAGCAATTTTCTTGTTGTTACCAAAAGTTGTTAAGGATTCACATTTGTCACAATCAATATCTTGGCTTGGCACATCACCTGTTGAATTTGGTTGTTTTGTAACATTTTGGATTGCACAATTGGCTATTGTGTGGAAAGGGATAGATGGTATTAGAGAATTGGAAAAATACTCTGCTCCAATACTTGTATCACTCACTTCTTGTTTGCTTGTTTGGGCTTATGTCAAGGCTGGTGGATTTGGTCATATGTTAGGTTTATCATCAAGAATTACAAAATCCCAGTTTTGGTCACTGTTTTTCCCATCGGTTACTGCAAACATCGGATTCTGGGCTACGTTGGCACTCAACATACCTGACTTTACCAGATACGCCAAGACTCAAAATGATCAAATCATAGGTCAAGCAGGGCTACCAGTGTTTATGGGGTTGTTTACTTTTGTTGGTGTAGCTGTTACCTCATCGACGAAAGTAATTTTTGGTCATGTGATTTCGAACCCCATAACACTTTTAGGTGAAATCGGTGGATCGTTGACAATGGTGTTAGCTATTCTTGGCATTAGCTTAGCTACAATCACAACAAACATTGCAGCAAATGTTGTGGCGCCGGCTAATGCATTAGTAAACCTTAGTCCTTCAAGATTCAGTTTTAGAAGGGGTGCAATTTTAACAGCATTGCTAGGGGTTGTTTGTCAGCCTTGGAGATTGTTGAAATCAAGTGAGAGTTTTGTGTACACATGGTTAGTTGGATATTCTGCATTGTTGGGGCCAATTATGGGGATAATTTTGGTTGATTATTACTTGATTCAGAAGATGAATTTGAGTATTAAAGATTTGTATACATTGAGTTCAAAGGGTGCATATTATTACTCAAGTGGATATAATTTATCTGCAATTTTGGCTTTGGTTATTGGGATTTTGCCAGTAATTCCAGGCTTTTTGCAAAATGTTGGGATTTTGGATTCAATTCCAAAATCATTTTCCATCATTTACAATAATGCTTGGTTTTTTACCTTGTTTTTAGCAGGGGGACTTTATTGGATTCTTTCAATTTTAAAGAAAAATCAAAAGGAAATAGATCCTTTGTTGCCTAATAATACATCTTAGGTTAGTTTTAGTCTCTGTTTTATACATTTGTCACTTACTTTTCTTATTGTATTTGTCAAATATTGAAATAAAAGAAATACGTTTAGTATTTGTTATCGTTTTACAGCTGACATACTTTCTATCGCAGTATAAGTCTGTACGTTTTCATGTTGTGAATTTTGTAATGATGTGATATGATTTGTGAGTAATCGAACAAAGTTAGTTACATATGTATGTGAGATCGATGACTTGTATATAGCTAATTAATGGAAAAATAAACAACAACATAAAAGCTATTCATTAATATTTATTTGTATCTATTGAATTGTGTTGAACTCGTGATGACGAGATTTGAGGAGAAGAAAGATGAAAAGTTGGAGTACCATGGACCATCACTTTCTTCAAAATCACACCCGTGGCTAGTTAGGTGTTTTCCGAGGAAAACACAAACTTTTTTCAGCATATCTGAAGATCGATGTTATGAAAGAAGTATACATGAGCTTGGTAACACAATAATATGTGCTTGTGCTCAAGAGTGGCTTGTGTTAGAAGACTTTGATTCTATAGATTGTTACCTATGGAATGCTATTTTCAAACGACAAAATTCAGTTCCCACCACTTCCTTATAACGACAATCTTAAGTGTCTCTTGTCTGCACCACCCAATGATCCTCAATGTCGCGTTCTCTTCCTAATTCATGAGACTAACCCCCCTGAGGATGATGATGATGACGAGGATGAGAATTCTGATAATGATGATGACAAAAATGATGACATAGATACCAATGATGCAGACAATGAAAATTCTGTCATCACTGACAATGAGGATAGTGATGATGATGACACAAATGAGGACTATCCCAATGATGATGACACGGATGCTAATGATGATGACACAGACAATGAGAATCCCGATGATGATGACGACATAGATTCTAATGATGATGACATAGACAATGTGAATCTCAATAATGATGATGCGGATTCCAATGATGATGACACAGACAATGAGAATCCCAATGATGATGACACAGATTCTAATGATGATGACATAGACAATGAGAATCTCGATGATGTTGCAAACATTGAGAATCTTAATGATGATATTGTTGCAAACAATGACAATCCCGATGATAATAATGATGAGAATGCGCCTTCGCCTGCACTTTACTTGTGCAAGCCAGGTTATGATCAAGAATTTCATAAGCAAGATCTGAAATCAATCATTGGAGATAATCGTTTTTCAGTATGGACAGTATTCAAGGGAGATTTTTATGTATTCACATGACAGACACGAATTCTACTCCGTTTGAATGTAGATGATTCAACAGGAGCAATATCAGCTACACCAATGACTAACCAACCAGCCTCCATATGATTACTTCTCAGAATACTTAGACATGCCATGCTTTGCAAATTACCTCATTCAATCTGAAGACGAGGTTGAGTTGTTATATGTTCACATGTTGTTCCATGGAAGGGAGTTCGAGGATGTCTACAAAATTATAGTATTTCGGTTTGATTTTGTAAACAAAGTGTGGGAAGAGGCGAAAAGCATTGGTGAAACTGCAATTTTCTTAGGTCCTTGTTTTGGTGGAACAACTTGTTGTACAAGAGGAACTAATATTAAAAAAGAATCCGTCTACTTCATTAAGGGCCGTTATCTCTGTATTTTCGACTTGGAAACACAGAGTATATCAGTATCGCGTATTTCCAAGACAGAGTCACCCTCGTACTGGTTAAAGCTTATGGACGCGTGAGATGAAACAGTTTTGAATGAGAGGAAAAAGTTTGGTTTATCTTCCAAATGTATTATGTTCAAAGTGTTTTCTATTGTATTGTTCGTTACTTAAATTTTGTTGTATTGAAGCGATTAAATTCATCATTTAGGAAACAATGAAAAGTCTCATTTTGTATAAAAAAAAATTGAACATCTTTTCTTGCTATGCAAAGGAGTCTTGCCTTCTCTTTGGCTTACAAGGAAATCTAAACGTATTTTGTATCTACTAAATAGCTATTGTATACGATAACAATAATACATTCAGTGTAATCGTGGAGTCGAGAGAGTGACATGTACACAATCTTACCTCTACATTGTGAAGATAGAAAGATTGTTTCTGATTGACTCTCTGCTCAAGTAAATTTGAATGAATATATTTAATAGAAAAGCTACTATCAATTTTATATAAAATCTCATTTAAAACCAAGTTGGTTGCAGATGATGTGCATTATCTGGGACATAACCAATGGTTTCAAAACCAACAAACAATTATTTATGGAAATACAAGTTAATTTATTTATTTATTGAAATTCTAATAAGTTTATTTAGTTATTTATGGAAATTCCAATTATTTACGAGAAAGGAAAGGATAAGAAAATAAATTTCCTTTGGCCTAAAGCAACTCTAAATCTCCAACTTACAGAAAGATTATTTGGACACTTTCAAAATTTATCTGTCTATCAACATCCGATGTCCACAAAACATAATAGAGACAAGTTTAGAGTGTTAAATTGTGTCACGACCCAAATCGGGCCGCGACTGGCACCCACACTTACCCTCCTGTGTGAGCGAACCAACCAAATCTAAACCTTAACATTTCAATGTATTATCAACATAAAGTAATGCGGAAGACTTAAACTCATTAATAAAAACCAATCCAATAACTATTATTTTCCAAAATCTAGAAGTCATCATCACAAGAACATTTACTTCAAATTACTAAATCTAAGTGTTTCTAAGAAGCTAAAAATACATAAAAGCTAGTCCATGCCGGAACTTCAAGGCATCAAGACATGAACAGGAAGATCCAGTCCAAGCTAGAAGCATTAGCTCACCCTGATATCCGGAGTAATGAAGACTGGCTAGAGTTACTGTTGAGTCGAAGATGACGGCACGTTTGCTGCACTCCACAATTAAACAAGAAGAAAACATAAAAGTAGGGGTCAGTATAAAACATGGGTACTGAGTAGATATCATCGGCCAACTCAAAATAGAAATCAATATATACCAAGTAATATCATAAAATCAACTATGATACTCAACATGTAGCAACAACAAGTACTATGTCATAATCAATTACCGTCAAGTTCACACATGAGGACTCAAGCCTCAATACCATACTCATTTGGGAATTATGTTCGTTAGATTGAGTATATTAACATCTTTCAAGATTTATTATCTTTATTTCTCTTGTGTCGGTACGTGACACTCCGATCCCCCTAATTCTACGTGTCGGTTCGTGACACCCGTCCCACTAATTCTACGTGTCGGTTCGTGACACCCGATCCACTAATTCTATGTGTTGGTTCGTGACACCCGTCCCACTAATTCTATGTGTTGGTTCGTGACACCCGATCCACTAATTCCATGTGTCGGTTCGTGACACCCGATCCAATAATTCTATGTGTCGGTTCGTGACACCCGTCCCACTAATTCTATGTGTCGATTCGTGACACCCGATCCACTAATTCTATGTGTCGGTTTGTGACACCCGATCTACTGATTCTATGTGTCGGTTCGTGACACCCGATCCACTATTTCTATGTGTCGGTTCGTGACACCCGCCCCACTAATTCTATGTGTCGGTTTGTGACACCCGATCCACTAATTCTATGTGTCGGTTCGTGACACCCGTCCCACTAATTCTATGTGTCGGTTCGTGACACCCGATCCACTAATTCTATGTGTCGGTTCGTGACACCCGTCCCACTAATTCTATGTGTCGGTTCGTGACACCCGATCCACTAATTCTATCCTGGTATCGGAACGTGGCACCCGATCCCCTAATCTCCTTCTATCAATTCATCAAGCCTTCTTTCTTACCAAGGCATCATCAATCTCATTATTTTAGTTCATCAAGCCTTCTTTTATACCAAGGCCTCATCATTAACAAAGAGAATTAGGGTTTTTCAAGATTTGGGATTCAATAACTTCATCATGCTTATATAATCACAATTATATATTACATTCATGCAAGCATACAATTAAGCACATAGCAGGGTTTACAGTATTATCAATACATATCATTCGCTATTAAGAGTTTACTACGAATATCGTAAGAGAAACCATAACCTACCTCCACCGAAGATTTCGTGATCAAGCAAGCAATTCCTCAAGATTCTTTGCTATCCTCTTCGTTTCCCTTTTTTCTCGTTCGATCCCCTCTTTTTTCTTTTTGTTCTTTCTATTTTTCTTATTCAAACTCTCTTTCTTTTACCCTAATTAACATGTAATTAAGTGTAAAAGATGACAATAATAACCCACAATTTAACTCAAGGTTACCTCTTTTATCCCCCAAGAAATTGAGTTATTAATATAAACCCACGAAATATATAATTATAGCAGGAATAGTCCAAAACGCCTCTTTAAAACTTAACCAGAATTCTGACTCCGACTGGGATTACGCAACCTGTGACGGCCCGTCGCGCCTGCGACGGTCCGTCATGCAGGTTGGTCAGAGACTCGATTTCCTTAAGGAGTCTGTGACGGCCCGTCGTACCTACGACGGTCCGTCCTGCACTTCCGTCACGACGTTCTGAGAATCGTTCCCTGTACCAAATTCTCAAGAGTAGAAGTGTTTTGAAACGGAGGATCACGACGGTTCGTTGTGCCTGTGACGGTCCGTCCTGCAGGTCCGTCACAGAGTTCAGAGAGTCAATTTCAGCACTCAATTTCAGAATTTCTAAGTGTTTTGAAACGAGACCCCTCGACGGTCCGTCGTGGGCATGACGGTCCGTCGTGGGTTCCGTCGTCTCAGCCTATTTTTCCAGAAATAAAATTTGCTGTTCAAAACGACTAAACAGGTTGTTACAACACGGTACAGTCATTCTTCTTGTCTATGTAGATGATATCATTATTACAGGCTCTACTGCAGCTCTCATTCAGGATGTCACTCGAGCTATGCATACTACCTTCAAAATGAAGGACCTTGGCTCGTTACATTATTTTCTGGGAATGGAGGTTTCTCGGACAGGCAGCGGCTTGTTTCTTCATCAGTCCAAATATGCTCGAGATCTGTTGCAGAAAGCTGGACTGGAAAAATCCACCAGTCAACCAACACCGACGGCAGTCTTTTCCTCTACAAATGGAGCCGACACCCCTTTTGCCGATATCACCCACTTTCGCAGCC